AGATTTAGGTGTTTTCATGAAAAAGTTCAAATATTTTTCAAATTCCTTTCATTGTAGGACAGATATTTTCCCTTTCCAATGATGTTTCATCAGTACTGCATCTCTATAACACACTGCTCAGAACCACGACCAGATGGGGTTTGTCCACTGTGTGGAGGCACAAATCAAATTCACCGAGTTGTTCACCCAAAAGCAAAGGCCTATTTCTTCTTGGAAATTAAAGCAAAAATGTGGTTGGAGCTATGTGGGATATCAGTTAGAAAACAAGAAGATGCAGTGAATTATGTCCAGTTTCAAATGGATGTTTTAGGATGCAGATACTGACAACATTGATATGGACAATCTCAGATAAATGCATGGTGGGAAAAGAAGCTCTCCTAAACTGACAAGCTCATGGTAGAACATCAGCCTCATGAAAACAGAGGCAGGCCTTGCACTGTGTCACATCCTGCCAAACATAACCTAAATGACATACAAGTTATTAAATCACTTATTTAAATATATTTACATTAAAGTAATTTCAGCAAATCAGAATTAAAAAAACCAAACCCCAGCTCATCTGCTATTCACTCACATCCTCTGGAGGCTGGTTTTTGATTAGCTGTATTTTCTCTAGAAGGTAATATTTTTTTTAGAATTCTGTAAAATATTCTCAAACAAAATTCTCCCATCAGCTGCGCTATATTGCAGAAAATAATCTGTCTCCCTACAAGTCTAAAGCTGTGAGCCACTAAACTAAGTCTTAAATGCTACACTTCTTTCTACATTTTCAGTCCGAACATAGAAATTGTAGAAATTGTTCAGAGTAAGGACTATCATACTTTAAATATAGATAATTTTGTGGAATGTAATGTTGCAGCAGTGGAGCAGTATAGCAAACAAAATGTCAGCCAAGAATGCTGCAGCTTTATAATCTTGGGTATATGCTGAAAGAAACACACTTTTTTCTTTGCACTCAAAAAGAAATTTTGCCAGCATGTGCATTAAAAGAGGTCAACGGTCCTGCAAGGTGCTATTAATGGATAATGTAATTTTCATGCAGTTTTCACACTTTCTATCCTAGAGCACTTTTCAAATGTAATAATAAAGAGTATAAGAGAGAGAGCAAAAGAAGAATAAAGAATTACAAAGGAAAAAAAAATTAAGATGCTTTGAAGCAGGGGAAGAATCAGTGGCTTATGTGAGGCTACATTAAAGCCCAGCCTCCCACACTACGCAGACACACCGGGTGGGGATGGTTTCACATGACACAGCAGGCCCAGCACAGATTAGCTGATCTAAAAGTGAGTGGCCATCACAAACGGGCAGTTTTCCTTCCCTCAATTACTGTGGCACCATTTCCCTTCTATTGGATGTAAGGATTGTGTCAGTTCATCAGGCTGATCCAGCAGAAAGCCACGCCGAGGGGCAGCAGAGCAGAACTGAGGAGCAGCTCTTTGTCAGGTCAGCCAGCTGAACCAACTCACCGTGAAGCCATGAGTGGAAGTGCCAAGAAAAGGAGAGGATGGCAGAAGCCTTGGCCAAGGGCTGCCTTTTTAATGGGGAAGTTACTGGATCTCCTTAGCTGCCCCCTAAAAATGAGACTTTTGGTCTCTGCCTGAAAAAAACCCTCCAGAAGTGTCTCATTCTGGTTATGGTCTAATGAAAGCTTAACTGTTTGCTTCAAAATTAATAAACATGTTTTAACACACTTTCTGAAACCAGAATAATAAATTAAGAATGCCTTTGGATTTGTTAATTACAAGCAGTTTACATTTCTAACTTCTTCTTATTATCTTTTTTAACTGTCACACTGGTCAAGATTATACAAACACACTTTCATAAAGCTATATGTCTTTGCCTAGAACATACCCTTGAAATAAGGTACACGTTGCATTGTGCTGAAAGCCACAACAAAGCAGACTCTGCCTGTTAGCTCACATTAACCGAGTCTTTGGCTGATATTTCCATGGAAGGTATGCTGATCTTTCTAGTAGTGTCAATAGAATCACATTACTGCTCGAGTCATCATTTTCTAAAAGCTATTTGGCAACTCACCATTCATCCCCTACAGTTAGATTCAACACTGTTTACAGCATCTAATAAACAGGCTTAGTGAGACAGAAATTTAAGAGATACTTCATTATTTTTCTTTAATGTGGTTAACTTCACAATAAAATGCCGTATCTATTTAAAATGTTATTCTTTTTCTTTTGATCATGAATCTTAATGCTTTATTTGTGACATCTGAGTTTTAGTAACAATAAATGCTTTGTCTGCTTGATGCAAAGAGCTCAATGGTTTAATTAAAGGGGATTAATTGAATTAACCTAATTAATTCAGTTAAACCAAATGCTTAGAAAGACAAGGTTAAGAAGTAGTTGTGTTATGCTATTCATTATTGTATGAGCGCTCACAATCCTCTTCAGTGCAGTCAGCTGGGTTAGACTGAGTCACTGGTAAAAGCAGTTAAACTAACCCTGCCGACTTCATAATGAAATAGGGTTTAACAGCATTGATAAACAGTAGGACAATAACAGCAGAAATAAGAGCAGCTGGAGCACTAACAAAATTAATTATGGCATCACAGCTGAGACTGATAATGAAAACCCCTGGACAGTAACTTCTCAAACTAGTACAGCTGTTTCCAAATAGCCATCTGTCTGGGCCCCAAGGCTATTTTATGTATGGATACTCTTAAATTAACTTAGCAGAGCTCAGTTAAGGAATTACAGAAACAATGTGATAATATTGAAAGCTAATGTGATATAAGCAATATAAACTTACAGTGGTTTAAGAAAAAACTGAAAAGGGGCAATTTTGCAACTTTGAAGTGGTTAAACAGCTGTGTGTCCTAGAGTCCTGAAATAATTGATTTGATGACAAGAAAGCTTTATGAGAGTGATTAAAAGAAAAATTTCCTTTTGAAACAACTGGCAAAGAAGGCAAAGGAAATCTTATCACTACAGCTCTCCAAAACAACTTAAGTATAGTTTATGGAAAGCTTAAATTTCTTTATTCACAGGAGTTTTTTTAATCAATTCAACTGCCAAATGACACAGTCCACCCTTAGGCCCTACTTTTCTTAGGCAGCATTTTGAAAATGGTTTCATCTTGTCCTCTGAAAATGCACTTGTAATTTTCACTTTCAAGATTTTACATGTATGAAGACTGAAACTATGATTGTCATCATATCATCTAATACCATATTCATCCTTTTTCATAGCGGTGTGGTGTGAATATATAGGTTTGTTTCTTAGATGTGGGAAATGTGCACTCTTACTGGTATCATGGACAATGGAATGTGTGAAAAAACATGCCTTGATGAGATGATAAAAATACTAACAAATTAGAAACAGAAAGTCTAAACCACAAACATTAAATTGCAATAACAAAATTAATTAGCAAGCTTGGTAGGCCATCTTCTGTTATCACCTCCAGGAAGGCAATTTTCCAACAATTAACACTTGACAGAACTAAACATGTACTACAAAGAAAAGAATTCAGCTTTTATGTTTTAAATCTATAATGAGAACAATTTTATCGTAGTAAATTTGAATCCACTGTTTTCAGATGATCAAAACCAGACATATCTATGTTTTCTTTTAATAAGAAAAGATGCTTACATTTTTTTTCCAAAGTAAAGTCATAATAAACCATAGTAGATAGGCTATGAAATCCCACTTGAAGAAAACTTTCGTTGCTCTGCCCAAGTTTTCATTACATATTAGTCAAGTCTGCTGGAAGACAACTTATGTCTCATTGATTTTATTTTTTCATCATTTTTGTACACTGTTACTAGTTATTATATGATTTAATCTTCTAGGTCTAAGCTACTAAAGCCAAGAATTCTACTTCCCTTATATACACCCCATGTATATACACACATATAAACGCAGTTTTCCCCTGTTGTGATGTATGAGTTTGTTCTTCAGAATTAATTAAATTCAGCTATAAAATATCCCTTAGGAAATTTCATGGATTGGTAAATAAAACCTGATCTTTTGTAGATTAAAACTGTAATATAAATATAAATAAATGCTTGCAAAATCTACGCAGCCCTTTTAAGTGTAACCCTGCTATCACCAAAAAAAAAAAATCACTCTCCCGTAGGTCAGGGCAAAGATTGGCCAGCTGAGAACACATCTGGGACAGTGTCACCAAACTGAAGGGCACACAATGGTGGCTGGTACTACATGATTTCCCCTCTTTTCAACACAGCCACAGCTGAAGGACCCCTTCTCACCTCCAGCTGTGGGTGTGGAGTTCACTTCCCCAGTGTATCAGGGCTGAGTCCAGCCCACAGAGGCTGCTAAACTGTAGACAGGTTGAGGAACTTATGAATTTTCCTGAGTTAGTAGACAAAGAGGCTGGGTGAATAATCATAATTAAACCTCCGTGCCTAAGTGAATAGAACTTTGGCCCTGTCAGTACAGCCTTGTCCACAAACAGGGCAAAAAAAAGAAACAAATTACAGTGTTGGTTCTTAAAGCAAACCAGCTTCATTTCCCTTGGCAATTTATTGGGTTGTTTGGGTTTGTTTTATTTTTTTAGAACTGTACAGGCCAAGTTCTGCTATAAATAACTACAGGAAAATGCCAGTAGAACATTTACCAGAGAGAAATCCCACAGTTTGGAAAAACTGTACTATGACCCACCTGGTAAAAAAAGTATTTATATGGTGAGCAGCTGGTAGAGGTCTAATCCTGCCCTATGAAATACTGTGCCAGCAAATTGTTGTAGTCTTCTGAAATTATTGAGTTTTGGCCCTGTACTGTATTTTTCATTGCCACTTTCAGCAACTATCCGGGCAACTAAGACAGAGTAAATAGTGACTGTAAAGGAACAGCCAGGCATTTCCACCAGACTTCACCTTCTCACTCGGGATTAGCGTCCTACTGTGGGCTGTTTTTCTGTACAACTCAAAGTATAAAAATTCAACACAATGTAAAAAAACCCCAAAAAACAAACAAACAAAAACCCCCTAAAACCCAACCCCCCCTACAATTTAATTCACTTACCTTTGGCTTCCTGCTTAGACCAGAATTGTTTCACTACTTTATTGATGTGTTTCTCCTCTCTCCACTTCTTTTGCCACTGACGTAGCTCTTGTATTTCACTGTCACAACGGACCTGTGAAAGGGAAAACAGATAATACAACTAAAATTATATGCCTTCGTGTTACCCAAGATGATGATACAATTTTTTTCATGGGGCTGTGGCTGGACAAATACATGACAGCCATCCTATTTGCTGGGCCTGAGGTCAAAACAAAATCCCAGGAGTTTACAGTTTTCAACTTACAGAGAAATAAAAAACGCATCATTGACAAACCCCATTGAAAACATAAATATGCCAATTAGGGGATCACTTTGATTACCAAGGACTCCTGAGAATGTGATTGCAGTGAGACGCTTATTCTTTGAGTTAATTAAAATTTCAGGCATTATGCTGAAGGGTATTAGTGCCTTTAGAAAACCACAACACTATAAAACCAACCCAGTGACCAACATAATAGAGCACAAGAGGAGCATGAAGGGTCATACAGAAGGGAATTTATTCCAGCAAACTGATTCACACCTGCCATCAGCTGCAAATAGGCTGACTGGCAATCCCAGCCATACAATTTTCACAAACAGGAGAGTCATTAATCTGTTATTTAAAGTAATTGGACTGTATTATGTGATATCTATTCTTTGTCAGTCAATCACCCCATGAAAGCCATAATTCTGCCTCCACAAAAAAATTACAATAGTCATAGGCCTTGATTCCATTTAGATTTAAGTTGAATTTTTCTCGTATTGTTTTTGTACTGGTGTAGTTCCTGCTAACAGAAAAGCCAGCCAGCCCTGCATCACCAGCTTTCACCACTCTGCTACTTAAACTTGTTGTAAGCAGGATTTGATTAATTAGTAGTGTGTTGCCCATTGCCTGCCTTGGTATTCACACAATTACTACCTCCGGTGCACCAGATACTGTCCTTCTGAACAACAGTAGGAAGAGGACATGCCAGTATTACCTTAGACAGTATTCTCTTAGAGTCGTATTCAAATGGTAATGGAATTATTTTTAAAATGCAGTTTCTGGTTTGGGTTGGTTTTTTTTCCCCTAAATATTAGATATAAAAAATGTCATTATGCTTTAGGACTGTGTTTAGAGAAGCTGTGGATGCCCCATTCCTGGAGGTGTTCAAGGCCAGGTTGGATGGGGCTCTGACCATGGGTCTAGTAGAAGGTGTCCCTGCCCATGGCAGGGGTTTGGAACTAGATGATCTTTAAGGTCCCTTCCAACCCAAAGCATTCTATGATTATATGACTTAATGTCCTAGTAATTTGGGCTGAAGGTGAATAACATGGAAGAAACAAGTAGCAATATACTCAATTTCTCCTGGACACCTTTTTCTTGCAGGAAGATGACTACTTAGTTCTCTAGAAAATCTCTAAATAAATTTCTATTTATTTTATTCTTACATGATATAGTAGTGAGTTTGCTCTGTGATTTGAACTCTAGTACTCTTCTCCATTACACTCTGCTTTTCTCTCACTTTACTAAGACACATACAGAGCAAAAGAGCAGGACTTCAGTTTCCCACTGGTTATAAAAAAACCCAAACCTTAAAGAAAACAGTATAAATTATTTATCAAAAGTACTCTTTCTACCCAGAATTTCTCCATTGTGGTGCAGCTGAGAGTGCAATAGACAGTAGCTGAACTCCCATAGCACTCTTCAATCCACTTAGGAGAAGATAACTTGTTATATTTCAGACAGTGCACTGGCAGAGCAGAAATACAATACAAGGTGACTCGATCAATAAAGACAGCCAAGACTTTTACTCAGTGACTTGACATCAGATACCTCTTAGGCCTCTAATAATATCCCATTATACTGATATAGTTCTGTAAAATTCTTCTATAAAAGTAATAAGAATTTCTTACAAGGTTGGTACGAACTTTTAAAAATGAAGGAAGTTACAGTTACTAGTGATCTTCTTTTCGGCTACAAAAAAATAAGATCATTTTCTGTTACATGCATCAAATACTATTTGCAAACATAAAATATAATCCCAAACACAGGATACTTCAGGCTTGCAAGAGACATTTTTTCTTTTAGGTTGTCATGTATGCTTTTATAAGCCAAATAATTCCCCATTACATGGAGTCAGTTTATCTGCACATGTAAGGGTTAAGGGAATGCTTATTGGGACTCAAGCATATAAATGACAGCAATGGAAGAGGCAGGAAGATAGAGAAATTGCTACCTCTATATCTAAATATAGAATTTCTGAAAAAATGATGTGTCCCTTTTACAACTTCAGCTGTGTGACCTGTATTTTGTCCCATGACAGGGCCACAGTGGTCTCTGTATACTGAAAATGAAGACAATAACTCTTACCAGTTAAAAGATAAATGGCAAATGTAGTATATTCTGTATACTCTCCCTAGACAAATAAAACAGTGAAAGTGCAGTGAAACATAGTGAAATACAGTGTTCTGAGAGGAAGGCATAGTCATATAGACTCAAATACTCCAAAGTCCAACACTAAATCCAAGCAGTGAACATGAGCTCCTAGAACAAAGTGTCTTTTCTAAAAAGTGAATTTAAAAAAAGAAAAAAAAACCAAGCAAAACACAGCTATGCCATCTGCAGTAAAACAGGTAACAGGAATGTAACGAAATACATCCAAATGTTCCAAATATGCTTAATAGATTAGAATTTAGCATAGTGGTTATAATTCCTCAGAAAGCAGTCTGTTTTGTAACCAGAGTGCAGTTCCACCATGATGGAAAAGCCATGACTCAGCAGCAAAATCTCCAGGCAAATAAACAGTGCAGAGTCTTGTGTCCCTCCTGCAGACCAGCCACGCCTGCAGCCCTGGAGGGGTCTGAGCTTTGAAGTGAGAGTTCACTCTTACCCAGGTCACTTGAGTTGAATCTACACTTGCTGTAAATAACAGGGAATATTCGTGTGACCTTCTGGGATTAAGCCTTTCCTAGGAGCCACAACTTGCTGGAAAGTAATAAAAGTTGCGATAGCAAAAGCATGACTGCACTTTGCAAGATACAAATCAAAACTGAAGCAGGTTTAACTTTTGATCAAACAACACACATAAAACAGCACTGAATATTTACATAATGCTGTCCAATTTCAACTCTAAGAAAAATCTACAAGATTTAGTCAAAATAAACTTCTTTCAATGCTAAGTGAGAACATGTTGCACAACAGCAGAAGGAAAACACCAAAACTTCACCCAGAGACATCAGAGGAAATTGTTTTAATGAAAAATCCCCTCAGTACAATAGTTCTGCAAATTGTAAAGTTTAAAACGACCCTATAAAAAAATGGCACTAAGCAAAGATTCTGCAGTAGAGGGGTGAAGGAATATATCATCTTTTACTCGGAAAGTGCCTGGAAAATTGATACTTATCTAAATACTGCCTTGGCCCGTGACAGGAGAATGGAACCTCAATAAAAAAGGATGATGGAAAGTGAAGAGAAAGAATTCTGATGACAGAGCTGTCTCGCGTCTTCTCTGAGTGCTCCTCCTTGCCCTCAAAGAGCCCACTCAAGATGACATTTTCCTTTCTGTGATCTCCTTACAAAACTCAGCAGTTGTAGCTCCCACTGCTATTTGTTCTGGAATTTAGTTCTTGACTGAACTTGAAATAATTTTCAGAATACCCATCAATGTCTTTGCATGAAAGATTGTAGAAAGCACTTTGTTGAAGGCAGCCATCAATTATTACCACTAAAACAAGTGTTTTTCTGAAATGTGCTGCAGATAATGATGAATGTACTGCTTTGATCATGGTTTATTATGAAAGTGTTCTCAATATTCTGTACCTATAGTTTTATTTTCCCTTTACATAAAAAAACCCTTTACTATCTGATCCATTTTTGCATTTTGCCCCATGTTTTTGATACTGGCACACTCAGACAGCTAGATGTGGCAGGAACAAGTGAAGCATCATGAGAAGACATGATGCTCAGTCAGTTTTATAACTAGATAAACTCTACTGCCTAAATCAGTATGGTTAACAAAATACCTCAGAAGTGGTCTGAGTCCATAGAAGACATGTCTTAGAAAACCAATGATGAAGTGCACTGTCTCTTTAGCACAGTGCCATGTAAAGTATCTGTGTGTGCTTGTGTTTAATTATTCAATATTAACACACTGTGTACATTTTTATTTCAATAACAGTGTTTAAAAGTTCTAAATTCTCTGAATTATAAAACAAGGTTTAATGAAAAACAGCAGAAAAGATTTTCAAATATTGACACAATAATATCCATAGAATGCAAAAGGGCATTATTTATAAGTGTTCATTTGTTACCACACTAAATCAGTGTTAGCTGACAGAGCTATCTATTTTAAAAGCAAATAATCTGAATTCTTTGGTAAATTTTCATAATATACTTTATCATTAATGCAATTAAATCCCATTTAAGCTTAGTGTTCTCTTAATTTGAAAGTCTAAGGACAACTCATTGCCCTATGTAGTAACTTGTTACTAATGATTTTTATTTCATATTCTGACTTTAATTTCTGATTTTTAAAAACCTGATTTTTTTCATCTCGAATAAGAAAAACATTAGCAGGTAATTTTATAGTCTGAGTTATTTTTTATGTCTCCTACCTTTTACAGCTAGGGTTTCTCTCTCATTTCTGGGAACTGGTTTAGAATGATAAATACTAACTAGTGTGAAAATTCTGGAGTTAATCTGTACAGCAAGGGAGAATCGTGCCCTTCACAAGCTTTTATAGAAGCACAAAGTATCTGAGCAACCTTGCACTGTTCAGCAAACATAACTGTTATTGGATAATGGTTGCCTTTGCAATACTCCTCTGTAAGGATGCCTGCAGGGATACTGTCTGGCCTAATTAATGTTAGTGTCAATGCCATCTCTGTTTAAAAAAGAAAAATAAAGGAAAACTAACAACAGAAAGCGCTGCAAAAATCAATCAGTCAAGATCATTTTGAGGTATTTCATCATCTTTGGCTGCACAGCACATTATAGGAGCCACTTATATATTTGTGCTTGTTAAAAATAGTAAAAAAGAACTTACCAGAGAGTGTTTTATACTGATTGTTATTTAAAGAACACCTGACATCCAGAAATGTCTCACTGTCCATCACAACAAAATTGCTGCTATATCTGGGGGCTATTTAGAAGGTTAAATTTTGACAAAGGAAGCAAAGACATTTCTTCATCACCAAAGTCACCTGAATTTCAAGTCCATTTATTTCCAAGGCATGAAACTTTTTAAAAAAAAATATTTGACAGAATTTGTTCAGGATTTTCAAAATAATTCATTTAGCATCCTAGGGTTTGCATGGCTGTTACCCTCCAAAATAATAGTATTGGACAATTGTCTTTATTTTATGCTCCTTGCTTTCCCCCCTTAAACTGGGGATTGCATTAGTGTTGTATTACTAGTATGTCTTACAACATCTGCTAACCATTTTGTTTTCCCTTTCCTGGAATAAAAGCCTTCACACCTCTCTTAGATCTCCTGTCTCATTCTTGGTCTCAATTTTTTGTTCCTGTATGCTCGGACAGAACATACAGACCTCACCAATCCTCCTTGTGCATCTCCACCCTCACTCACTCACAGATCCCTGCATGAAGCAAAATAAGATTCCATCCTTTAGCAAGTAGCCAGAGCAACTTTAAATTTAAAACAGAAAATGGTTCACTGTTAATCGTACTTTTGAAAATCCAATTTCTGTGGATTTTCTGTTGTTGAGGAAAACACTGAGATTACATCAGCATAAATGCCTGTGAAAAAAACTGTAGTCACTAGGCATAAGGCAGAGCAACATCCAAAGCCAATGAACCATAGGGGTCTCAGCAGCTATTTATAGTATCCCCTACTTAAAATTTATGTAAGGATTTTCCCTGGGGCCTTCACAGTCCTACAGTTTTCAACATCAAGCAAAATAATTATAGATTACTCTTACCCGATAACCTCTCCAGAAGGACTGAATTATTATGCTTGCTTCTTCTTCTGATAGAAGCAGAGACAGAGGAATTGGTGGCCTAGGACTTAAAAAAAGATATTTTTTTGTAAGCAGACAGCCTGTAAATGTAAAATACTTTCTTCCCTAACAGTCTATTTTATCAAAAAGATAAATGCTGCTTAGGAGCTTGAAAGGTACAATTTCTTGTTGTCCTGAAAATAAAACGTGCAAAGAATATCTCCTTTACAAATATACTGTTATATACACTGCAATAATTTCTTCTTAAAACAGTAATATACAAATGGCACATCAAGCACAATAATCTTTCTTATTCTTTTACAGGGATTTCAAATTCCCACTATTATGGTAAGGTTTGAGGTGGCAGTAGGAGGGGAATAAGAGAAGGAGTGTGCCATTTGTAAAGCAGAGGAGGTTTTAGTGTGCATGCAACAATTAACAGACTTTTAGTGCATTAATTTACATTATGATGTCCCTAAATTAAAACATACTGAAAAAAGTAACGTTTACCATATCTGTGTAGCATGAACTCATGTTTAGAAATGTCTAAACAAGTTCCTAAAATGCTAAAAATTTACTTTTGATAGCATATACACATTGTTTGGTGATAAAAGAAAGTAATACATATGTACAACCATTCTCAGCCAAAATATGCCATAGTTTGAAAGCATGTTTGGTGGTTCTGTTACTACCAATTTTAATGGGAAGCAAAGCAGTAAATAAATTCAGCCATCACTAACAAAAACTGAAAAGACTGTATGAAATCTTGCTTCCCAAAAGCCATTTTCTGTGGGTGTTGATTTATTGCTCACACACAATGATCAAAAAGCATCCAGTGGAAAGGACAAAACAAAATTCATTTATATACTTCCTTTCATAATAAATGTCATTTAAACCTAATGAACTATAGGGCAATAATGCTGCAACTCATGAAAATCCCAGTAACGAAGAGTAGCCTTGGCACAGTGTTAGAAGGGCTGCCAAGGACCTCGCCCTACATGGGAAACAGGCTGAACACAGCCTGGACTTGGAAAACCACAACATTATGAATTTTGATGCAGCAACCACCTATAGACACATGCAGCCCATGCAGGAACATTATCTATGGTATTTATACTCTAAAGACACATATACTGCAAAACTCATTCATTGACAAGCTATTTCTTTTATGCAGTGTTACATTTTCTGGCTAAAACACAGCAATTTCCTTTGGAAATTTATTTTACAGTATATTACAGCTCAAGCTAATAGGCTTGACAGCTTACATTTTCTTTTCACTTAATTTCATTCATATTAGTCTCTGCCCTAGTAAGCTTCCTATGCTCTCTGACATCTTTCTCTCAGGGCTTGTCTTCACTGCAGGAGCGTTTCAACTTAGAGCACAATCTTACCTCTTATCTAATGCTACACTGACTGCACCATTTTAGTCTGTGTACTCAGCTAAATTGGTCTCATCATCATGTCAGCTGGGTTTTGGCCTACATTTATTTTAATGTGAAATAAAACCTTGGTCTGTTTGGAAAAATGGAAATAAGACAAAAATAAGGAACGGTCTCTCCATTAAGCTAAACAGTCTGAGCCCTGTGAATGTTAATTAGCATTTCTCCTGCTCAGGGGAAATCATAAGTGCTGGACAAGCAAGGCTCCCTGAGCTAACGGCTTCTTATAATCAGACTTAAAGTTCTGAAGTTGAACTGTGCTGGTTTCCCTGATAGGCTTTCATCCTCTGTTCTATTTTTGATCTTTTTGAAACCCAAAACTTAGAGTGGGAAAATCACAGGAAGACCTACATATTTTACAGCAGTTATATCAAAGCCATTGAACTTCTCTGAGAATGAGTACATCTCCAAAGAACAACTTGAGATTTCTCCTAGCCTGCAAGGTCAACTCGAGCATTTCTTTTCTTTCATTTTCAAATTATAAAAATGTCTAATTTATAATCCAACACTGAAGCCATGCCAGGTCCAGTTTTGTCGGAGAGAAAATACGCAATTGGCTGTGGGTCAAATAAAAATAGAATCTGAGCAGAGGCAATTACCCCTCAGCAGTGAACTAGGAAAAGAGAGAGGATGTCATTCGTGGCAGAAGACAGCTGTATGCCTCCAAGAAGATTAGAGCTGACAGTACAATGTACACCAACTATATTCTCCTTATTTAGTCTTTGATTATGCATGATCTTAAAAGCCCACACTTTAAACATATCAATATCTATTTTGACACATATACATTGTTTAACGTAAGCTACACCCATAAAAGAGCATCAGTAAAATGATTTTTCTTAAGTATTTTATTTTACCAAATCTCAATAAAGCAGACACTGCCCAGAGGAAAGTTAAATTCCAGAAACAAGTTTTTTGCATTCTGAGCAAACTTGTACAGATCCTGATTATGTGATATAACATTATGCAAGTGGAATTTGGCACCCAGAGGATACAAAACAGACTTGCAATAAATAAATGTACGAGGTAACCTCTGGGGGTTCACAGGCACACTGATGGACTGAATACATCAGTGTTTCTACGCAGTAATGCCCAGAAACCCCAATTGTCTCTAAGTTCCCAATCTGTCATACAGATTCCTTCCTTGACAAGAAATCTAAGAAAAAATTTAATCAAGAAAATTTTCGGTATATATAATTCAGGATTTTGTAATTGCTCTTTTTATTCCAATCTGTTCCCTAATAGTAACAGACAAAGAAATTTAACTACCAGCCTTACAGCCTGTAGGACCACTGTGCTACAGAGAGCATCAGTGCCTGGGGCTCATGGTGTGCAGGTGAGAGTGGAACAGCCAGGGGCAGTCACTGAATGATCAGGGCTTCTCTCTGCTTCAGAAAGCTCATCTCTAGAAACACTGAAGCAACCCTAAGGAAAAGGTTCAGGCCTCCTAAGTTTCAGTATGACAGTCACGGCCATATTAAACACCCACATTCACTTCACCTTTGGTTTGACTGTGATAGTTATTGTTCTTAACATTTATATCATGTATGAACACAGGCAATGACAGAGTCACTGCAAAATTCATAATCTAAAAGAACAGGCCAAAGAATAGGGATAAATATTAGACATGCAAGTAAATGACCCTGGTGATCTGCATAACTCTTAAAAAAAAAAAGGGGTTTCTGAGAAAGTCTTTGGTCTGGGAACTACTCCAAAAATTCACATGCTGGTCTGAATAAACTAAAAAAAGTGGAAATTTGTCAAAGTAGTTCTCTTTTATATTTTCAGTATTTCTTATTCTTACTTAGATGTTCTAGCAATACTACAGCAACACTTGCCTCATTAAGCCTTTCTTCTTACACACCTATCCAGAGTTGCAAACGTGTGCAACAACGAAAAACTATTGTTTTGATTCAAAACAAATGTCTCAACAATCTCTGCTTATAAATACTATTAAGATCATTTACCCAAAAAGCAGGAAAAAGATTGTTCATAAGCAATCAGACACTGAAGTACAGATTTATCTGACCTGGTATTTAAAATCAATTAGATATATTAATTAAATATTACACTTGCACTGCATGAGTCTCACAGGTTTACAGGGAAATATTCCCCACAGATACTTGACAAAAATACCCTGGAGCATTTTCACAGGTCAAACTGAGTGTGAACTGAGACCTTTCTTTGTAACATTTTCAGTATTAATACAATTATTCCACAGTCAGAAAGAAATTACTGGTTTGCTTTTGCAGCAAGCTAAATGCACTAGAACAAGATTATTAGTATTTGAAGAAAAAATCCCTACAGTATAAAAGAAAACATTTTAGTGCATTTTATGGAGGGTACATTTTTGAAAGGTTGTAAATGTGGGAATAACCAAATTTAATCTCCTTAAAAGAGGGATTGCATTTGAGTAGACATTTTTAAGTGTGACTCCTGCTAGTTATCAGGAGTCTGAACTCTTCTGCTCTACCACCTCCTCCAAATAAAGCTCCTTGATACTGATAATAATGAATTGAAGAATTAAAAAATATATTAAATCCATTTGAGAGTATTATCAAAGTGGCCATAGTCATAATATGCATTCAACTGTTAACACATACAAACTATTTATATACTTACTTATCTATTTATAATGAAGAAAAGACATGATAAAAAGAAAAGACGGTGTGGAACTAATGTGAGAAAGTCATTATGTGTGGAGGCAGAGTCATGTAATGGACAGGAGGCTGAGGCAGAACAGGTGACTGGCAACAAGAATGTGAGAGGAATTAGAGGAAGCACAGCAAGAAGTCTTAGTAGTGAGAACAAGCCAAAAAATAGCAGTGCAAGAATCTTTTGTCTCAAGCTCTGTCTGGAAGTTATAGTGACTTTCTTGCCTCTTAATATGGTCTCTCCTTGGGGAGGACTTACCATTTTAATGCTAAAACTCAGCTCTCCTGTGCTTGCATACTTGCTACGTGTTTTGAAAGTCACAATGTGTCACCTCACGTTTTCTGTCTTGGAGGACCAATATTTATGTAGTTTGAAAGAGCGTTCTTGGTCCTGGACTGAAGGAAATTAAACCTGGACCTATTCCAAAGGCCACTCATGTCGAAGGGAAAATTTCCATCTCTGTTTGTGTACTTTAGATCAAACTTCATATCCTGAAAACATGAAAAACTAACAACAGCAAAAATATCCTCCTCTTAGTGCTCTAAAGCAACATTTGGAGAATGTCACAAAGCACTAATACATCTTCAGTTTTCTAATTGCCATTTGGACAATCTTTACATAAATTAAGGCACGTTTCAACAAGGCATCGGGAGTTATTTCATGAAACCTTCAACTCCATAAAGCACCATTAAAAAATATAAATATTTCATACAGAAACTTTGTGCAATTTTTCAACACACAGTTTTTAAGTAAAAAATTTCTCCTTTGTTAACTTGAATTCTGCCACAGTACTGGAATGGCAATTTTTTACTTGGAAACACATAGAATAACACCCATATAGATGTATTTGTTGGACTTTTCTATTACTACAAATAAATCAGCTGTCCCTACCCCCGAAAATATTAAAGAAATTATTATTCAGTTATTAAGGAAAATGAAAGAAAAAAACATAATGCAAATCAAATATACTCCAAACATGGCTGTTTTAGAGATAACCCAATGAAATATTGCAGTGTGCAGAAAGCAAAGCCTGTAGAAACTGGGCATATTATGGAAAGAAAAAAAATCAGTCACCCGTGCAAAATTACCCCTATTGGCCATCTGAGAACTGACAATGAAGTCAACTGTAAAGGCAGCTGAGACCAGCAGACTTCACCTAATTAAAATATTTGGAGGAGGGAGAAAACAATAATCACTGTATATATATATGCATATGCAGATATTTGACAAAAAGCCACTAGTTCAGATTTAGTAATCATTTAGAGACATATATATCTTGGCTGCCCACTTCACTAAAGCCATGATAAATTTAGTTGCTCTGTATCTGCACCCTTGTTTTGGTACACATAGATAAATTAAACCTGGAAATGTGTCTTTCTGAACTGAGTAACAAGTAAAGACCTCTAATTAAAAAAAAAAGAGAGAAGATGCAGATTAAAAAAATCTTGTGAATTACTTTTTATCTGATCTTCAACAGCCAGGAAAATACTTATGCTTATTCCTAACCTAGATCCATATGTCACCGTCTCTGATTGAATCTATGGGTCAAAAGTGAACTTGAACAATGCTGTCAATATTATTAAATTAATGTGACAGACTTTTATACCTGTTTTTCAGAGCAGTGGAACTATTTTTTATTGGTTTCTTCGTGTTTCTTTCATTAATATGCTAAAGAAGGTTGTGCAATGACACTGCCATGGTACTCAGACTACTTCTGCCAGAAAAGTAAAACTGCAGGGGGATCAGAGCATAAACAGAGCTCCCTCTCTTTCCCTGTCCCTGATTCAGTACACAGAGCTTGGTTACTTGTGATTGAGCTTCACTGCTCTTCAACCAGAAACACCACTGGAAAATGCTGACAAAAGGGAACCGTGTTGCTCATTAGCAAATTTATACAAGTACAAAACATTCACAGCTCTAATTCCACTTCCTTTACTTGATTCTATCAGCAGCCCTCAATGTAGGAACAGGTACATCAGTCGGTATCTCAGCAAGTTCCCAAGCCCTTGTGTTGGTCTCTTGTTCCAACTCCAGTTTCCTGCCCTCTGAAAGGTCCAGCTGTGCTTTAAGGCAACAGAAACGTTTTGTGTTCTCCTGGCTGTGATATGTAGGTTACCAGTCAGTGTTGAGGCTGCTCCTTCTATTGCTTTTGAAATTTGCTTCGGGAATTGAAGATTCCCAAGGGATATAATATTTTGCCAGTGCTACTGGTAACAGAGAACCCAGAAGAAGACAAGGTAACTATACTGAAGCTTTATTTACTGATGTCATAGCAATTGCTATAAACACTAAAGCTGGAAATAAATTCAAATTCTACAAGCTTCTTCACCTACAATAACCAGCTTTAGAAGTACAACATTTGCATTTAAAATTCTGGGAACCAATGCAGCATTTAGGTCTCCTTATAAAGGAAAAGTAGGCTGCAAGATCTCATTTAGAAGCACATCTTACAGAGAATGAGGCTCATAAGACTGTGGCTTTCACTATTCTTTAAAAAAAAATTGGGCTTCAAAGAAGAAACTGGAGGCACTGGAGGAGAGCCAAAAAAGTCATACTCAAGTATGGAATACATTAAAAAAAGCTGGATCTCTTATAGAACAAAAAATTATCCCTCTGGGGTTTTTTTGTTTTGCTGGGTTTTGTTGTTTTGGGGTTTTTTTCAAGCATTAAGACTGCTTTGCACTGATAAACCTATCTAAACAGTTGGTATAAGGATGTTTCCCATCAAAATTTGACCAGCACTTTTTAGCATATTGTCTCTTGTATATTCTTAATCCTGTTGAAAAACTGAAAACTCCTTTAAAAATAGAAATGGAGATGACAATAATCAGTTACATTTTAAGTGTGATATTTGGAAGGATATAATCGTAAACTATTTAGGACATATCCAGAAGGACATAATAATAAATTCTCTCATTTTTATTCGTATTTAATATTGCAGTCTTTCACTTTGCTCTAATAATGCTTTCTTCATAAGCAGTATTTGTTAAATCTGTAGTGTTAAGGGTAGTCCACAAAAAGTTCCTATTTAATAATAATTTTAATAATTATTATTTTAAGGGTCTACTTGTTTAGAGGATTTAAGATCAAGTGTATCAACTTAAGGAGGACTTTGACACTCCAGTGTCCTTGTGGAGCTGTCACTACATTATTTAGGAGCACCACTACTAACAGAAGCTATGAGTCATTCAGGCTGTGATTCCACAGTGAATTTCTCTTGTTGGCAAAGCTGACTTAAGCAATTCCTGCCACCACCTCTATATCTTAGCAGCTCATTTGTTCTCTTCACCTTGCCCCAAGCCCTTCATTTTAATCCTTTGTTTGTGCCAATACACAGGTTTGTCACTCTCCAAGGTGAAGCAGATTGGAGAAATTATCTGTGTTTTAAATAGCTACACAAACTCTCCTCACACATTTTGGCAGAGAGATTCCTAACTCAGAGTAGGTCCCTGATCAGAATAACCAAGCACCCTACCAAACAGACAAGGTGATATCAGGTTGCCTACAAGCAGGTTGGGATGAAGAACAGGAGAGAGCAGGGAACCATTTCAGTCAGCTTTACTTCCAAGAGAAACGTTTGTAAAACTGTGACCTTGGACATCTTAGGGACAAATATCCATCCTCACATATCAGGGGTGTCCAAACTGCCTTACTAAGGGACAGCTCTTCAGTATGCTTAAGAAATGAGTTCGACAACCTCACTGCAGTTCATGGTCACTTTCCAAAGGACAGAATTCACTGCCTTAAATGGGAACCTCGTTGCCAAGAACTTGTTGCCTTGTTGGACAAGGAGACAGATGTGTCCCACCAGTGGTAGGTTCCAACAACAGTGCGTGGTACCTGAAGGTATCGGGGTTGAGATGAAATGGGTCATTCTGCAGAGGTGTTCATCTCTTACTGCAGAAACTTCCTACACGAGTCTGACACACGACCACCTCTTGGGTAGTCAAACTTAACTATTTTGACACAATCTCCAGCTTGGCCCCAAAGACAGATCTCTACGTTTTCAATGACTACCAATCTAGACCCCAATTAAGTTTAAAATCTGAGCTCTGTAATTTTCTTATTCCCTCACTGTGGACTATGACTTTACTTTTCTCACACAGCAGCTATATTTTAAAACTACATGCAGTCTCAAGTACAGTAACATTTCTTTCAAAACCACTATGCAGCTTGGTTCTACAGGAATAAATGACTGAGGCTGCCAAAACAAGTGTTCATTTCTCAGATACAAAGTCATAAACGTCTGCAGAAATGCATCCTGACACCAAGGATTATTACAGTTATTTTTAAAACAGCTGCCTACAGCTAAAGGAATAATTTCTTGATAATATCCTCAAAGATTTCCACAGTAGGAAGCAGTGATGAAAACACTGCTTTGCTCATTAGTACAAAGATATTCATAATACTACCAGACTATTCAAATGTCCTGCACTTTACAATTAAAATGTCTAGGAATTCTAAACCAATTTCTCTGTGAACAGTTCTGGTACAAAATACCTTGTAAGTAATACCTGAGCAAGTTAGAAAGCATCACATAGTTCCGTGTTGCACACAATAAAGGGCATTTTGAGGGCACAGTTGCAACAGGTTGAAGCTCTATGACTTTTTTGGAATGGCAGGGGTGAAAGGAGAAAAGGTTACTCTGAGTACTGCAATAACTTACTGGTCCTTAAGCCAGTCCTTAACAAAAGGAATGGAAAAGAATTCTGTGAATGACTCATCTTTCCTCCTTGGGTTCATGCTAAAACAAAAAGGAAAACAACTCAATTTAAATTTCAGCTATTCGATTTGAAAATTAATGCCTTTGAATCATTGAGTATAATTAATAGTAAAAACCATGATTAACTTACTTGTATAACCACTCAGTTAGGAAATCAGAGGCAATAAATTTGGTTCTTCTTCCCTAAAGATAGAAGATAGTTTCAAATTATTTATTATCTTTGGATTGGTCATATGTTTTTACTACTGGAGAGGAACAGAAGCTAAATTGACTGCTTTTATTAAATAAAATATACAGTCCATTACTCTGTCTACTTTAATATTGCTACTGCCAACAGTCAGTGGCTCTGCCAAAATTTTAGACATTTTGTGGAATGCTTTCAAGTCAAGACAAACTATGAGTGAGAAAATTCTACATATATTATCTTGATATTTGCTGCAGTATATCTAGAACAAATATCTCTAAATGGTGTTCTTTCTAAGTGGTTTTCTCATTATGAGGAAGTTAACAGAACTGATTCATATATGAGAATATGTTGTCAATTACTTGCCATTTTGCTCAAGGTTTTATTATCATACTTAAAATTCTTCATTTCCTCCAAGACACAGAAGGAACATTGATTGGATATTGTTTCCTCCTGCATGGAACCAGCTTGAAGGCATTGTGAATACTGAAGACACACACAAACAGGGTATTGTATGGCTGCTCAGGCAAAAATCATGTCGTGTGGTCCAGAAAGGAAGGCAAAATCAAAGGAAGGGATATGTCTGTCCACAACCACAGATACCATGAACACTACAGAGAATCAGGTAAAACATTCAAAACCTGGAGCTTCAGAGCAAAACATTTGTGCCCTTTGCTCCCAGTTCTAAATCTCCACCAAAAAAAGAGAATTTTGCAAAATGCTTTGCAGCAGGTTCTCCTTGGGGACTCATGCAGCCAGTACCTGTTCAGCTGGACAGCCAGCTGTCCAAAGCATGAATTTGGGTAAATACACAATGGATTAGGACCCTCCTTTTCTTAAGGATTTCCTCTCCTGAAATGAATGTATAAATGAGTACAGACTGAATGTATAAATGAATACAGGTGCTCATTCTGTTTATCACAAACCAGAGGAACCACGATGTGGAGAATATAATGTAGACTTCTGGTTGGAAAAACAGGAGAGCTTGACTGGTATCTTTGGAACAGCTCTTGCACAAGTTGTGTTATGGATGTACAGTCACTGAGTGAACACTGAGAGAATTCAGCCCCTGCACACCAGAGACACCAATCACAATAGCAGCCACTGAGCTTAGAGAAGGTTGAGCTCTCATCCAGAAGGTAACACTTACCCTGCCAAACAGGAGATTCAACTGCAATTACGACTTCTTAGAACTATTCACACTGGTTAAACACATTTGTGAAATTGCTAAATGTCAAAAAGAGGCTGAAGTCTTGACTAAAATGTAAGAAATAAAGATACTACTACTACTTGCTAAGAAAAACACAGTAAATATGTAATTGAAAATTTAATGCACGAAGAATGACTTTATTCTATGCATTATCCTCACCATCTGTGTTTCCCCCGGTGCTGCAAGAATAGGATGCAAAAAGGACTGGGGGATGGGAATAGAGAGGCAAGAAAAAAAGTGCTCTACATAGAATAACTCTTTCAGTTCAGGGTTTTGTCATAATTTGGGGGTCAGCCACAGGTGAAGTGGAAGAAGAACATTCCGTGAGGTGCTGACTGTGCAGTGAGGAATACAGGGCAGTCATGGAGCTGGGGATGACAAGTGGGAAGTTTAGAGCCAGACTGCAGGGCATTCCCACATGATACCCAGGAAAGCTTTTACTTTTCTAAGTGTATCTTACCCTTGGAAGACACACAGTCTGACTCCCACAGAAAAGAAAGAGACCATCACTGCAGAGCTTTCTATAGGTCACTTCACATGGTAAATGGACAAATTTGGACTTGAACAGAATCTGTAAACAAATAGCACAGTCTGATCATCACTGTACAGATATTCTCATTCACAGTATGAAACTGGGTCCCATTCCTTAGTGAATTGTTTCAGAGAATAAATTCTACACTTTGACAATGAAATTCAATTTAATCTAGCAGTTGTAATTTAATCTGTTTTAAGTAAATTGCTTTTCCTTTGCAATGGCAAAAAATGATCAGAACAGGCTTGTCAAAACAGCCATCACCAAAGGAATCAAATTCATCTTGTTTTATCCTTGTTAGAGGCAGTGAACTTATCAGGGAGGAATTCAGTCAAGCTCAATATTTTTTTATTTTGTTATTTTTTTGCCAGGAAACAGTTTATTTTGCTAGCAAATTAAATTGTTAGTTGCACAGCAGTCAACATTTATAAAGGGAAAAAATTACATAAATTGACCTGCCTTTGACACATTCCTCCTATGTGCTGCATGAATCAAGATAAACACAGGAAATATCTGCACAATGTGCATTGTTAACCTGCAGATGTGTTTATAAACTACTTATATTCGGAATTCATTTTCCACTTTTCAGTTTAAATGTTATGGGCTTGGTAATAATCATGAAAAATACTGGTGATCAGAAGATGGCAAAGTCATTAGGAAACCTTTTTCCATTCCCTTTCCCTGATGTATCACACTTTAAAATATAATATATTCCATTACAGAGTCTGATACAGCATCCTCCTTCAGTAGGATAGCTTACTAAAAAGAAAAGTCAGAGTTATGCTAATAAAAACATCCATACATTGTTCAGTTTTAATGCTGAAAAATGAATGCATTAGTCAGTTCTCATGGGAGAAAAGATTTAAGAAAATAGTCTTTCCCCTGGAGGCATTTGACAGCAGAGAGGATAAAGCACAGGAGAACTCATGGTAGGGGAAAAAAAAATCAGTGAGGGAATACACTGGGCAACCTAACAGGTTTCTTTCATCTCTGCTTTAAAAACGAAGCTTCTGCAGACTATTCTCATATTTCTGGCAGTTTGAAGTCTGCACATCTATCTAGCAGCTGGTGGGTTTTCTAGGTTTTTTGCTTTTCAGATTTTTCATATGCATTACATAATGCAAGAGAACCTATTTTGAATGAACTGTTTAAATTGTTATGTTTCTATATCACCTTCCAAAGAAGATGTTGCAGATTTCTTTCCTACACAAATCACTACTTCCAGCAGAACTGTCTCCCTTTCCTGACTTTCCCATGCGATTACAATTCTTCCTCTCCAGACATGGATGCATCTTTTCTGGTCTCTTCCTTGAACTCCTCTGTTGGTTCCATGATCTGACCTCGCTTACCACAGTTTCAATTACTCAACAACTCTCCTACTTAATTTTTCATTCTCTTCTCATTCATCTTAATTTCCTTTCAAAACATGAAAACTTTCAGTCCTTCTCATCAAAATCCCACTCTTCATTCTCCCTCACAATTTCCTCTCTCTTCTCCCAGGCTCATTCAACGTTAACTGCAGTCAGTTTGATTATTCCTCCCTTTCTTCCAGTGCTTCTTTCATTAATCTTGCAATGGTTTATTCTGTACAACTGCCCTTTATAGGCTTTAATGACTCATGTCTAGCCAAAAGTCAAACCCAGTATTCTCATCCTTCATGATTTCAGTCAGCTTAATCACAATTAATCTTGTTCCTCTCCCGTTCTCTCACGAATTGCACGAATCTTTCAAATGTTTGTTCTCCTCCTGTTTTTGAAGCTATTTTCCGGTGTGTTTATCACAAGATCCTTTCTCCCTGTTTCTGCTTTGCTCTGGGTTTCTAAGGACTCTGGTTTTGATCCTAAAAATCAGTTCAAGTTATTTCATGAACTATTTTGATACAAATTATAGCATGGGGGGGTTTTTCTCCAATTTCATATGGATAAATACATTCTTATGAAACAAAAGTATAAATAGAAGTCACGTATTTAGGTCAGATAAGGAAACAGAATGTCCAAGTACAAGCACCTGGACAGCAATGGAAAAGAACACAAATATTCAGTTATATGGCAAGCATAAAGAGCTATTGTTTTACTAGTTATTGTTCAAAAGGAGGAAGAAATGATGTCACAGTGGAAAACTATCATTCGACATAAGCTTCCTTTCCCTAAACTTGGTTCCCCAACATCAGAGCATCTCTTCAGATAAGTGTCTTTTCTATAAGCTATACACATTTTTATGAAGATTCTATAGATTAGAAAGTAATTACTTTTATTAGTTTGCTGTAAAGCAACACACAGACCCATACAAAATCCATTTTCAGAACACATACTTTCTAACATATACACCACTGCAAAACTTCTCAGATTAAAAATAGACAAAGTAACCTTAAATTTGTTTCGAGTTTAAAATATTTCTAAGGATTTTAATATTTTTGTATTAAGTGTTGGTTTATTGGCTCCAGAAATAGGTAACATCTATCAAAGACTGTATTTTAAATCAGCTGCAGAGCATGTCTTTTTCCTGTTAAAGGACACATGCTTCCTTTAAAAAAAAAAATCAATACAGATTTCATGAAAAGTGTGATGAATAATATATATGCACAACCTGTTCTTGGCCAGGTAATGTAAATGTGGTGGCAGGAATGACAGACAGAGATGTCATGTAAATGAACCATTTTCCTATTTCGCCTGTATTAATCAGAGTTTATAAATGTATATACACACACCTGTAAATCAGTTTATAGACACACACAAATTTTGAGAAAACGGAGAAAACTTTGAAATAACTGTTATTAAATGTACAGATTTGGATTTGAAATTCAAGTAGCCATGGCTGGAGAAAAAAGCAGAAATTATGGAAGACCCCACAACTCCCAGTACCTAAGCTGTTGCTTGGGGTCTGTGAGTCAGGCTGTGGTGATACAATGAGCTTTATTTTGCACCAGTTCTAGAGGGTTTTTAAGCATTGCCAATATACCACCAGGAATGTCTCTCTAGATATGCCTACAGACACATACACTGAAAACAAATTTATAAAAGTATATGTAGCAAACAATTAGTTTTTTAAATGTACACTTTTATAAGCTCATTAATGCTAAATACCCTGTTTTCCAATTAAATGGAACTTACACAGAATGTTGAAAAGCTAAAATAGAAAATTTATCTCTATTAAGATGCCAGGCCAGCAAAAATAATTGAACCACGAAGTACGAATCAAGTTCTGTACATCACCCTCAAATGAGTGATGTGTATTAATCTGAGAGGAAGCCTGTTTCTCTAAAATATAACACTCTTTAGGCTAGATACAAATGGATATTTAAGGAGGATTTGTTGGGAGCTAGAGATCATCATAATGATCAAGTGTATGTAGTATGCAATCTGTTCTGAATTACTGGAGAAAACAACATTTAAAACCAGGTCCAAAATAACTTATTATATGTTATATCATATAATTGTGGTTGGTTTTCTTGCAAAAGACCAAATTTAAAAAATACTTCCCATGAAATAAAGGCTGTAACTTCCTGCCAATGATTTGAACCAAAAACTACAAACTAACCTCAAAACATTTTTCTTTCTCTGCTTCATGCAGAAGTTCAGCCAGTCCAGGTAAGAGTACTGGAAATATGTAGAACTCTAAGTATTCTCGTGGAGAACCTGAGCAAAACAGGACAGACTTCACTTACAGGTAAGCACTTCGATTTTACAAAAAGACAATTATTAGAAATCATAACCTCAGTACCAGTCATTTTATCAATATCATCACAGCTTGCACTTAACAGATTTGTTCAGCTCAGATACAGCCACTGATCTGTCTTCACTTCTCTTCAGCCAAGACAACATAAACTTGAGCAAATTTCAACCTAAAGATGCACCAACAGTGCAGACTCAGGGCACCTCAGAGATGTCAGACTTAGTTTTAAAGGAGTAAACTCAGACACCAGAAGCAGTTTAGTCACAGAAATGAAAAGTAATGTGGACTAATTTGCCCTGACAGGAGGAAGTTAGCCTGTGCTGAACTCAGTGCTGTTACAGCCAGATCACTTTTGGTATCTCATGCCCTTTACAATCTGCATTATCAGAGTTGGTCATAAAACTGAATTTTTAGACAGAGGAGAAAACAAAGGTTGTATTTCAGTGGTGCTGTGATTTCTTTGTCATAATTACTTCTTACTTGCCACATGCTTCAGAAATTTCAACGTGACTCCATATATCCAATTTTTCCCCTTTCTGAGGGCTGCCTGGGTTGGCATCTCTCCATTCAGGAATTATTCAGGTTTTGGTTTGGTCAGGAAAGATAAGTCACAGAAAGGTTCTCTTCTGGCAACACAGCTGAAATACTGAATGTATTCTCAGCTTTATATCTTTAATTGGTTTATATACTGCCAGAAAATGTTCATTATTGGAAGGACACTATTTATTTAAAAGCCCAGGGTAACACTGCTTCTGACTAGCACCAGGAATTCCTAATGAGCAAGAATGAATGGAAGAGAAGATGAAATGGAGGGCTAAAAGGCATAATAAAGACACACTGCTGCTTGGTAATTTTTATAAACTATAGAAATTGATAAAAGTGGAAGAACTAAACTCTAGAGCTGTTTCCATTCTCATTTGTAATCAGATGGGCAGAGTCATATTTTGACAGCAGTTTTCAAATTCAATTGTCTATTTAATCTATTGACCCTAGTTTTGCATTACTAAATTAGAGGAAGAAATGCCTGCCTTTCTCTGATTTAAATAGAAAGTCACTTATTCAGAAGAGCACAGAACTACCTCAGCCAGTCAGTGGTTTGTAATGCACCATTTGAAATTTCTGCCATTGACCAAGTGCCCAGGTTGGCTCCCTGTTTACACATCAGGGGCCTAAACATGCCAATTCCACGTAAGAAAAGGTACTGAAGCTGTTAACACTCTCCATTAAACAAATTACAAACCCTTGCCATATGCAAGAAAAATAATCACAACAGATAATATCAAGATAATATCCTCCTACTTACATGTTTTTGGGTCAGGTGGTTCTGGAGAGAAGGCTTCCTCGACTATGGGAAGCAACTGTTGGTCAACAGTATCAGCTGCAAGGGGAGAATTAAATTGTTCCATGTCTAATGGCTGCAATATTCCTGCTTCCAAAGACACCTGTTTAAGATAAATGTAACCTATCTAAATACTCCAACAGACTTTACAAAAATATGCAAACCAACTCAGCAGGAAAAATTATAAGGTCAATTAAAAATTATGGAACTATAACTTCTTATTCAAATATTAAATTATGTATTTTCTGAGTGCTACACAAGTTGTCTTAAATAAAAACAATTATTTGGACACTACATTTGTTGATTCAAAGAAGTTGTTTAAAAAAGGTAGTTTTGTTTTCATTTTATGAATGAGTCTACCATGTGGATACCTAATTTTCCCATTTAGTTACTTAACATCTTTTAAAATCAGCCCTATGCAGACTTTTTTTCTTGAAGTGTACTCACAGATTCTTGTTTTGATTCAGGAACATCTGGAAATTGAGGGTGTTCAGCTTCATACTCTAAAAGCAAAAAAAAAAAGTACATTTATCAGAAGACTTTAATTTAAAAACGTATTTATTTTCCTCCTAAACAAGTATTACTTTCTAAACCTACTTATTTGGGTTTGAAAGAACAAAAGTTAGTATACAATATATATTTGTTAAACATGAAATCTAATGTTTTAATACAAGTGAGAACTTTAGAGCCTCTTGTCTTGGCTGTAAGTCAAGTGCAAGGTTCTCAGTGATAAGAGCCCTTTATAGGGAAAAAAAATGTTACCAAAATAATAATTTAAAATATTTCAATGCAAGTAAAATGCAGACGCTTGTATGGAATTAACCATTGTTTTTAGTAGCAGACAATACTGCTTTTCACAGTGGATTTCTCTATAAGAAATTATGTCCCATGGTAAGTATTACTGTCTCCAATTTAAAAAAAAAAACAAAAACAAAAAAGAAAACAAAACACCCTCCCCAAAAAACCACCAAACATCACTAAAAAACCTAAAAGCAGTACATGACCCTCACAAATTACTGAGTGACTCAGAATAAGGAAATGGACTTGATATGAAAAAATTTACAGATTACACAATACAGAACACTCAGAGCCAAACCTAAGAGGTTCACTGTTCCACCACTATAATTAAGTTTACTGGCATCACCAAATCCATGCGTACTACAGACATCTTAGCCGAGTTATATTAGAAAAAATAACTTTATTCCCATATTTAAAATGTCTGCTTTAACACAAAATGCCTACTTTAGTAATTATAAAGCAGTAAGTGGAGAGAACCCTATTTGGGAAGTGCAGAACTACAGTGCTGCTCTCCCGACTTTCCAGTCTCAGTGCCCTCAGACTTTGGCAGAAGACCAAGACTTTCGCTGTTAGAACAGGGCTCTGAGAGCAGGAGTTTTGCGTTCTTTTAGCTTTTACAACAGCGCTAACACAGCCACCCCTCTGGTTCCCCAGGGCAATGCTCCAACCCCCTCACGGGACCAGCCTCAGAGCGCAGGGCGCCGGTCACCGCCGGGCGAACCAGAGGCCGCGACCGGATCAACGGGCCGGACGCCGCGGGAACACACCACGGGCACGTGGCCGCCACAAAACGGTGGCAATAAAAAGCAACACAACGCTCACGAGCGGAAAAGCTCGTGGGTCT